GATGTATAAATATCTAATATAAAATATTGTTCAACTACGGTTAGGTTAATGTAGAACAATTTGTATGAACTTCCTAAATGTAAAACTAATAAAAATGTATTTTTATAGTAGTTTTATTATTTACCAAGATCTTGGAAAACCACGATTTCAATTATTATTAAAATATCAATGGAGCATTAATTTACTTCAAATAAATAGCGAATACCTACTGTTGAATAAAGATAACATTTTATATCTCAACACAAAATGATACTAATATTTGAGTAATCAAACGAAAACATACCAATACGTGTATGATGTTCCGTTGTAGATAATAATATTATATCTACGAATTATATGTATTGTGTGTATTTTATAAATCGTCCGACTTTTGGACAAGATTATAAATTATTATTTCATCGCCGATTTAAAACCAGCTGTAACTCATAAAATGATTGTAAGAATAAAATTTTACGTTGGAATACGGGTTCAAAACAACTGTAAAATATTGTTTATTTTAATCGATTCGACATCATCACCATAAGTATAATATTATAATACATGTCACCCACGAATTTATAGAATTAAATGTTCAGTACATTTTATATTTTATGTGTATTCTTTTAAAATCTATTTTTAACATAAAAAATAACTAAATATGTATCAACCACCAGCACAAAGTACTCCACAAGAGTTGAAATATCTTTCATACATACAGAAAAAAATTAATAAATAAAAAAAAATTTTTTCAGTCACTCGACGAAAACAAAAAACAATAACAACAACAAACCCCAATTTACGACGACACATAATATTCCATAGGTATACAAAAAAAAATAAAAATATGTATGACATGTATGGTACACGATTTGCGACACTTGTTGCGCGATGATAAACGACGCAACAGGCCGTCGACGGCAATCGTCCTGCAGCAGTTATTTACAAAAAACATCAAAGGAACAAAAGGAAAAAGTAATGGTCGTTCGGCGGAGGGACGTCCTTGAAAACGAAAACAACAGGAAAAAACGTAGAAACACACACCGCAGAACCGCGGTTGTTATTGGTATATCTACCAGTCTTACGTAGTTTGATGGTCGGCAATAGATGATTCAGGAAAATCGCATAAGTACACTCGTTTTTTGTGTTCTGGTCAGACAATGACGAAATCATAACGAACGTGCGCGCGCTCGCCCGGTAATAAAAATCTAACATTCTCGTCCGAAATAAACAACAATATATTTTTGTCTGCGAATTTTGTTTTCCAATACCAAAACAACAATTATGTTATAAAACAAAATAATACTACGGAAAAAAAAAAACGGCAGACATAATATTCCGACAATGTCGTAGCAGCAACACTACTACTCCATTACTAATAAGGGCAGTGTCGATGGCGGTGGACAGACTTTTGTTTTATATTGGGTGCATAAAGACATGAGAACTAGTTTTTTCCTCTTCGAGAGACGAGGAATATAAATAAACACGAGCACGACGATGATGCACAACAACACAGGAGGAACATAATATTTTTACTCGTGCTAGGCATTAAGTAATAGTGGTGTGAGGTAGGTAGGTTGCAGTGAACGCGCGTGTTACCAAGTGTCGGTGGTGGTAATGGTGATGGTAGTGGTGGTGGCGAGGTGGCCTGACCAGCTCTCCGCGGTGCGAGTACGTACCTACCTACCTACCGCCTATCTACCCTACCGTAGTGAAATACGTAATGTATACTCAACTGCGTAAAACGTTTCTGGGGGTGTCTGAGATTACTCGAAATGTTTGAACCGTACACGAATATTACTGTAAAATGCAGGTACGGCGTAAAGGTGTAATATAAAAAATTCGTCTCGTACTACACAATAAACCACACACTACTGCGTAGTAAAAATATCGTCTCAGCTCTAATAATACCCCCCTACCCTACCATATACAGTCAAATAATATTTATTATTATTGGTCGACGTGATTTTATTTCATATATATATTTATAGTTCGTAAATCATAATAATTCCAAAAATAATAACCTTAGATAGACGTTTTATATCAAAAATTAAATCATCAAAGCTCAGGAACATAGACAATGATGAAATCCTCGGTTTCAATTGTATTACATATTTGTATTTGTATTATAAATATGTGTATTAACATTTTCAAGCTGCCAAATGTAAAATATAAACATTAATATTTTAATTGTTGAATCATAAAACTATATTAATATTAAGATATTATGAAATTAATACATTTTAAAGACACATAGGTGTTAATATTTTAAACTTAATATGTTTAGAAAATTAAAAGCGCCTCATATATTGTAATATTATTGTTACAATAGAAGAGGCACTTTACTTTATTTACAAAGTAAAATGTCACTAAAATTAACGGAAACCTCTAACCGTCAACGAAACCGTACCCATACGGGTCACTGAATGATCAACATAAGCACGACGGATTCGCCGTGTCATACACTTGACAACGGTATTTTAAAATAATATTATTTACCACTTGAGGAAACCCCGGTGTGTCCTTGTAACCCGCACTAATAATTATGGCTCTGCGTCGTATAATTCGAATCGGCTTCGGTCAACACTTTTATAGAATAGATTATGCAATAAAATATGCACTAATTTTCCAAATAAGTAATAACAGTATTGTTAAAAATTTGATTTGTCTTACGTTTTATTTCAAAGTCGCAACAAAATTAATAAAATCTTCTAAAATGGTGATTTATAGGTCACACGATTATCGGATTGTTTTCCAATAAAGGATTATGAACTAACATTCGAATTGCACGTGATAACAATTATTCTACATGATAACATACAAAAAACAAATTAATTTTTTCAAATTACGTTAAAGAAAAACCATCTATTACTTCAGGACTCGATAAAATTCAAAATCAAATAATTATATCGACTTAATACTCGGACAAAGACTGATAAAAGGCACGAACATCGGTATTTAATGTTGGTGGTCTTCCGGAATCTCACGCAATCGATTCGAACGACCACAATGTGATGATTATTAGTAAATATTATCGTAGACCGTTTCAATGGAACGTATATTATGCAGTGACAAATAATGCAATTCCATCCATTGTGAATCAAATTTTTGAAATGTTTAAATAATACAAAAAATAAATTTAATTTTATGACAACCGAACAAAATCCTATACCTTTAGCTTTTGTCTGGGAAACTACAATTTACTAGATCAATCATCGAACACCCTAATTGGCCAGTCAAATCGTTCAAGTCCAATGGTAACGAACGGAAGCATAAATAAACATGTATAAATGCATATGAAAATGAGCACGGACAAAATTACATATGAATAGCCCGAAATTGTATCGTAATTCATTGAACATCAGGAGGTGGTCTCATTGAAAAATTAATAAAAGCAAAAAATGGCTATCAAACGAAACCTCATGTATGCTCAGAGCAATTCGTTTCAGGTGAATATTACAGTATCCGGGAAAAATAAAGTTTAGGACATAAAATATACGAAAAACAATCATAGATGAAGATATTGTTAAGTACGAAAAAATCGATAAAAATGTAAAAAAAAAAAAAACTGAAATCTACCAATAATGTTATTAAACAAACGTCCTATAGTATACATCCTAAGTATATAGCGTGTGTAAAAATTAAATGTTACATAAATATTGTAGTGTATTAACACAGTACATAACAACTTGTGTGTATGGAGTACATCCATAACATTATCATAATTATTTGTCTCGGGTCAGCAGATAAAAAGCGCGAAACAATCATAATAATAATAATTTTTCGGCAGCACGTAGGGAACATTGGTGAGTCGAATTGCGACGTAAGGGGGAGGGGAAGGGTCAGCAGAAAGACGAGGAGCAGAAAAGACATAAAATCCGAACAAAAACATGGGGTTTAGAGCGCGCGAATGTCGAAAACGCTGCGACGGTAATGGAAGGAACAGATCATGTCTCACGTGTAATCGTGTTGAGATGTAAACAAAAACGGGAAAAAACAAAAACGAACGGGTAGAAAACACGACCTTGAACGCTGTAGGATATTTGTCCTTGGTCCACGACGACGACAACTCGTCTACTCTCGGAGCGCACACCACGCGTCATCGGCATGTATCCAATACCCGATATTTTCATATGCGGTACGAAAAAAAAAAAAAAAAAAAAAATGAAGGTGATTGATTATCAACCGATGATTCTTAGAACGGTGACTGATAGCAAAGAAACAATGATTATAGTAGACGAGAACACATACTTGATATTATAAAACGGTAGCAAAATAATAAAATTATTTTCTGATCGATAAACTTAAACTATTGGATAGGGTACGTAGTTATTTGTTTCGCAAACATATTTCTCTCGCCCCAGTCATATTACACACAAATTATTTACGAGAAACGTCGTATCGCATAAACATGTAAATACAATATTTTAAAACATAGATAAATCGATATCTGTTGACTTCAATCGATATTCAGTTGAAGTTCCCACAGCTGTTCGGAGGCTGGTGGACACACTGGGCCAACAATCGAACCGAACGGTTCGTTGAGGTTTGTCGAAAAACCCACAGGAGGATTTCGGAACGACCGCGCGCCACAACAAAACGTTACGGCGACACACTGCTGCACACACACACACACACACTCGCGCGGTAGCAGTCAACGCGCGCTGTAACGTTACACCGGATCGCGCAGATGTGACGCCGGTTCGAGGTGAAAAAGTTTCACGAAATAATATAATGCCGGTGAACGCCGATTGCGGTGACCACGAACCCGAAAGTTAAGCGCGTCGAGAAAAATCGCATCGAACCGTTTCGAACGAAACCCCCGAACGGTCGAATCGTTTTGCTCTACAGCGCTGGTCGAATTGCTTTGAATTTCCCGAGCCGGAACGACATAATTGCAACACACACACACACACACACTTAATACGCGTAGTGCACAGCGAACGCGGCCGAAAGCGGATGCACTTTCCGGCGGCGACCAGCGTTTAATCTTACACGGAACAAAAATGGGGTTTTAAGCTTACCAGTGCACCGTCGTCCGAGTCCTCCGGCGCTCGCGCGCCCGCAAACACTTTGCACGCACACGCGGCACACGAGAAAACGACACGCGCGCACGAGCACGATCGGGGAACGAAAACCCGGTTACGGATTTGAATCCGAACGCTTATTAAAATGCGTCGTCGTCGTCGTCGTCGTCGTCGGTCGGGTCGAGTCGCACAAGTCGCAAACCAGAAAACGATAACGTTTCGAAACGCGTCTGTCGGATAACAAATCCTACGTAAAACCGTTCGTGCGCCCAAAATTATTATCACGTATGAATCGAATCGCGGACGGGCGGCGCCGGCGGACACGCGTCGACAGCTGAGAGACGACTGTGTGCGGAAATCGATTCCGATCAACGGTCGCCGATAACGTGGTCAGATGTCCGACGATTGACGATCGCGCAGTACACGGCTACTGTGTCATGTCCGCGTTGCACGAAACGCGAGCATCGCGCGCGCAGTCCATCGGGGCAATCTCGCAGCGATAATGGTTCAAATAATACTGATAGCGAGACGAGTGATTGCTACAATCGCGATTGCGACTGCGAGACGGAAACTGTCGCGTTGTGCTGACGATTCGAACGGCGTACGACGTGATGTAAGTGTCCGGACAACCGAGAACGTCGCACTGTGGACGTCCGGGCGTATCGCGACCGCGGCCCAATGTTCCCCACTATTTTTTCGATTAGAAATATTTGGATTATTTTTTTTCTCTCTCCGCCTATCTCGCTCGCTCTCTCTCTCTCTCTCTCTCTCTCTCTCTCTCTCTCTCTCTCTCTCTCTCCGTCGTATTACCATCTTTCTCTCCCGCCCTCCCTCTCGGTGTTTCTCTGTCGCCGCGTCACATCATCCCGGTCTGTTTATATCCCCGTCGTGAACTGCTTGCACCCTAGGCCGTCGGAATTCCCCGAAAACCCCAAACCATGCTCGCCCGCCCCCTCCGTCCACCCGTAACAATGATATCGCCCCCTCTCCGCGCGGCGACCGCCGGTTTTTCCACGAAACCGAGACGAACTCGGTACCGGCCGATCTTCGGCTTCATCCGCCCCCTCCCGTCAGTCGTCGGTGCCCCGTCGGGTCCGAGGGATCGGCCGCCGACTCGTTGACGAGCGCGAACCCCCGGGTCCGTCGTCGGCCGAGAGGGGAACGATGGATGGAAATAAACGAACGAACGGCCAAAAGAGACCAACGGAATCCGCCGTACGTGATTTTTTAAGCGCGAAACGCGGACGACGGGATGAACGCGACCGCATTGTAACCCGTGAACGCTACACGTGCGCCGGTCGAATACGATCCGTTTTCGATTGCCGTACCGCGGCACGAACAATAGTATTATTGTATCAGAAAAAAATTGCGATTGTAACCATTCGCCGTTCAGATAACGATTGAACATTGTGCATACGTGCGTGTGTGTGTGTGTGTGCGTGTGTTTGGCTGATAACAAAACAATTCTATGCGCGTGTGTGTGTGTGTGTGTGTGTTGTGCGAGACGACTTGGACGCGTGTCTTAATTCATTATGTTGTTAAAACCCTAATTGACAATCGTGAAATAGAAACGTTTTGTCTTACGCAATACGTATTACGTACCGGTCGACGCTGACCAATTAATGGGAAACATATTGCGTTTCGAGACACAAGCGTTCTGAAAAATATTGCTTTCCACTAGTTCGTGTAAACATCGTGTTCCAATCGTTTGTTTATGTATTTATATTTTTATTGCCGATATTGTCCGTGACACTGCAAACGGTTTATTTAAAAGTGAAAAACTCGGTTTGTTGCTTATTCATAAAATCTCATTAATAAACATCAATTAAGAAATACCTTTTTTTTTTAAAACATTATATCGGAATAATGATTTATCTACGTTTTTGAAAATGTATGAATACATTTTTCGTTCAAAATTTAGTAAGTTAGAAAATTTTTTTATTTAAAATCCCTTTCGTGGTTTTATGAGTTTGATATAATCATCTATGTTTTTTTCGTATATCATATTTTAACTTGGATTTATACTAAAAAATAAAATATAATTCAGTTGTTCTATTAAACATTTTAAAATCCCCACAGGAAAAGTTGAAAACACGCTACATCCTCCTCTCGTCCCATCACATGCCCAAACCATATCGGTCTACTTTTTCTCGTCTTGTCCACTCTAGACGCTACTTCAATACTACATTTCACATATTCGTTCCTCATTCCATATTCTCTTGTCACTCCACTCATCACTTAAACATATTATTATAATTACATAAATAACTTCCTCTACTATTTATAAACCTGTCGCTAACAATCACCGAGCAGCATAGAGCTGCAGTTCAACAAACAATATTACACGATTTATGGATTTCTAAATGGACCTTAATAGTACCATCATCAAGACCTTCTACCTCCTCAGACGCTTTAATTTCTTGTGATAAAACATTGTACCCTAATCTCTACCAACTGCTGAAAATACTTGCCATACTTCCTGTGTCGAATACTGAACGCATTTTTTCAATGCTGCGAAGATTAAAAGCGTATTCGAAAGACTCAACATCAGAGTATCGTCTCGTCGGTTTAGCATTATTAAATATTCATAGAAATATTTTTATAACTGATGATATGATTTTAGACAGGTTTGCTAATAGTAGACGAGCCAAACGTTTAAAACTTATTATTTAGTACTTAATAGCTAATACATACACTGTGTAGGTTGTAATATATATTTAAATCGTTAAATTTTATTTATTTTTTTTTTTTTTGTTTTACTATATGACTGTTTATAAATTTCGATCAGCCCCTCCCGAAATAAAATTCTGCCACGTGCCTGGTACACGGTGCGGTTTGACGCGCGCGCATTTGCGTTTACGGTGGACACCTGAGAACGCGCACCGACGAAATAATGCCGACCGCGACGAAAAAAACTGTCGTGTCCCCCCCCCCTGAGGGTAGAGGGGAATAGCACCTGAACGGGCCGGCGGAGGAGGGTGCACCCGTAATGTTTCCGTGTGTCCGACCTTGGCGTCGAATTCAATCCATCCGGTGGCCGCCGTTAGACGCGCGAACCGTTAGGCGTGTGCGCGCGTAACGTAGGGTTGCCATTGAAGTTTAAGTGTTGACCGGGACAGTTATTAAAACAATATCTACAACATTTTTGTTTTTATTAAATTATTTTGAATTATAAAATTCAGAACACAATGTAATTTGCATAGAAAAATAATAAAAGCATAGAACAGCGGTTTCCAAACTTTTTTTGGACCTAATTTAGCCACGGTGCCCTGGCTGTGAATAACATTAAAGACAGAAACAAAAAAAGATCTATTGATAGCCGATTTTATTAATTATAATAAAATTTAACTTGGTTATAAATTAATGCATTTTTTAACTTAAATATTAGATAAATAAAAATGATTGTTATTATGATTATAATCAGTGGCGTAACTGGGAAAAAATCTAGGGGGGCCATATAGTATATTTATTATTACCAAAACCCTGACACCCCTCCCTTCAATATTTAAAACATATTTTTATTGTATGTATTTTACACAGTATATCTAATTGTTTGATTTTACATAAGGTTTTTAACTCATTTTGTGGTTTAGATTAACATAAATTGTAGGTAGCAGGTACTAGGTACCAATATTGTTAAATAATACTCATAAGAGTTCATTGATAAAAGGTGCTGTTTGTACTGTTGGATTATCTGGGGGGGGGGGGCAAAATTATACCTTTATCTCTCAAAAAATTGTCAGGGGGACACTTGCCCCCCTCCTCCCCACAATGACGTCACTGATTATAATTATTATATAAAAATATTATAAGGTTAAAATGAGAATAACCGATTATACAATAGAAAATATTACATTATTTTCTATAAAGTTTTTACGAAAACAATAAGATAAAACAATTTTATACATTTTAAACTATTTGTTATGAACCGTAGATGGCGATGCCCTTAGAAAGTGGTCGTGGTGCCCCTAGGGCACCGTTGTACACAGTTTGAGAACCGCTGACAGAACATTGTAATAATATACTATACACGATTATATACTTATTTTACAGCGTCTTTATAAGATTGAGGTTCACATTCTTACAGGAATTAAATAAAGCATACATTTGGTCGATTGATTGAAATATAATATTTTTCTGACTTTTTCACCTGTTTCTTAATCTGGTTTCCCCGTGACATACGTATGCAATTCCGAACAAGTCATTCTGAAATTAAATTTGAATTGAATGTTACTTTCTTTAGTTTATACTTGAAGTTGCGTTATTCGGTGCATTTGGCCATAATCTGTGAAAATATTTTCTCAAGATTGGCGTTATGGCCAGAAATGGCATATAAGTATTGGCACATCAAAATCAAATATGTTTTTTTTTCAATGTACCAGTTTTTCGAAAGAAATGTAACCGTTTGTCATGTATGTTTTTTATTCAAATCTTCATCGATTTTCTGTTTGTCAACGAAATTTTTAAGGCAAAATATTTTTTCAGAGAAACTATCCGTGATATCATCAAGCTTTTATTTTAAATAAGTTATTGCCTTTTCAATTCCATTGCAGGGAAGAACCAAGATCCATCCATCATTCGTCAATTTTTCAATATTTTTCTGATGTTTTATAATGATTAGGTATCAATCTACATTAGAGCCGCTGCGATCGCGCACCATTGTCCGACCACACCGTTCAAGCGCATTCTGTACCGTGCGCATTGCCCCGTTTAAGTTTACTCGAATCTTCGGTAGCGCGTTTGATGACCCACTCGTTCCTGCAAATTGTCAAAACGTTTCGAAGACTTCATCGGCAAACGATCCGTAAACAAAATAAACAGCACACGATTTTATTCGAATACGATTCTGAAGCGAATAGCGAGTGTAGTTTTTTTTTTTTAACTTCAATAGCAATAAATATTTGAAAAACATAACATTTTTACGACGAGGTTTTTTCATTTTTTTTTAGTGCAGTAAGAATTTATTATTAAAAAATACCTTATCGACTAGTCCTCGGAATCCATTTCCGACCAACAGGTCCCATGACCGGGACGGACTTCTGGGACTTGAAAATCTTGATTTTTTTGACTAATAGAATACTTGGTGTCTGCATTTCGACGGGAAAATTAACGTGTACACCGCGACGTGTGTATAGAGCAGGTATACAATCGTCAAAATTATAAAATCATTACACCGCAATATGTTTCAACGGATTTAATTGATTGTAATATATAAAATATTCTGCTGATCTATTTCTATTGACGTTTATAAAAAGAGATCATTTTAAACAATCGTGTTCAAATTTGAGACCATGTATGATACAGATGTTGAATATTCAAATATTTTTAAATAATGTTTTGCGTGAATTCTGCTCTTTTTTGCGATTGTATTTTTGAGAAATAGGACGTATTTTGTTGCTCCCCAATTGAATTCTATAACGTTTTGAACAGTTATTACAAACACTATAAATTCTACGTAATTTAAACGTGAACAAACAATAATGTATTCTTTACAAGTCCGTCGTCGTATTTCGTGCGTAATCGTAATTTCAACAACAGTATGTATGTTGATTGTCAGCGGATGTAATTTGTGCGTATAGGGTGTCATGAATGGACGCTTGTTAACCCGGTGCAGTAGGTACCGTAGCGGTTTGTTAGGGCTCACCCGGTGAACCACT